TCGCTGAAGCACACTTTTGAAATTTTAATTTCTTTGGCTTTGCTTGGCTGCATCGCAGCCACCACAACCAAACCACAGCAACAACAAAAACAAAAAAAAAAACAAATGCGCCACCACGATTGCAACTGTTGCTGGTAGTTTGTCGTCCTATCTTCGCGCTGTAGTTGTTGTCGTTATTTTTGTTGTTATTGTTGTTTTTTATTATTACAGTTGCCTGCTATTTATTTTCGTTTTTTCATTTGTTGTATTTATTATTATTATTATCCGTGTTGCTTTTGTTGGTATCTCCTCCTTTGGAGACTACCCGGTGCCATTTGTGGCAGCTGTAACGGTGCTGTGATTTGTGGCTTCATCGAAATTTTATGCGATGGATACTCGCGATTGCATGTAAATGTGTGCTGGCAATTGAATGCCAATTGACTGCTTGTCGTGTCGCGCCAAGCGCCTTGGCGGCGTCCAAACACGTCGAGCGCAGTGCTACTGTCACAGCGGCCTGGCGCTCGCTTGGCCTAGGCATTGAATTGTGTTGGGATAATAACTCGCTTTCAGCTGCACTTGTGGCTAGTGATGTAATTGCGCGATTTATAGAAAATATGCGGTAGGTATTCCGACTTGACTTGAATGATTTTTTAATGAGTTGACAGTAACTTATTGTCATAGCAGCTAATAAACAAAGCCTTACCTTAAAGCCGTGATTTTCGCATGAATTTTATTTATTCCGTCAGTTATACGCATATTTATTGTAAGGGGTTCATTCGATTCATTTCGAGGTTTCCTACTTATTTAAGAAAAATCACAGAAACTTCAAATTTAATGGCAAGAGTTTATTATCATTCGAAAGAAGAATATTTGGCATTTAAGTGTTGGCATCGACTACGCCTCGTTCGAGCATTTCAACTGATAACTGGCGATTGAAATGCATCATTTTTTTCTCCTAGGTCTGAATAGAAGGGATTGTCCGCATAGGGTGGGAAGTGGCGTCGTTTTGTTGTAACCAAATGCCGCCGAGATCACGAACTTCAATTTCAGACATTAAATAGTCGGTTATCATGGCATGATAACGGTCGCCATTGACGGTTACGTTCTTTGTGGATGGAATTGGAGCCCTTGAATCTCTTCAGCTTTCTCTTCGTTCCAATGCGGCACTTCTGCTTGTTTACATACCCATTGGACCAGAAAAGGGCCTCATCGCTGCACCCCATTAGATTTGAAGTAGGGAACCTTTCTTATAGCATCGCTTCTTGCTTCCACTTTGACATTAGTCTAGGATCGATTTGGGTCCATCGATCTTTAAAGGCGAAGTGATTTAGGGATCATAAAAATTTGTTCGTCAATTTTTGAGACATCCGAATGAAATTTAATACTTTGGTGTATTTGGATATTCTATTGATAATTTGTCTAAATCGGGCACATATCTTAATAACAAAGAATTGTTCAGGTTTTTTAAACTTCGTAGAGCATTTCCCGCATACACGACTTTATAAATATTATATTACATATACTATATATATGGTATAAAAATATTAGAGATGGCTCAGGATTGTTCGGGTCTGTCACCTACAAAAACCTATACGTTTGCGAATGGTCGCTAATGCTTCAGATAGTGACCGACATAAAACCATAGATCGAATCAGCTGATATGTCCTATCTTATGAGAGCGCAATGTACCGTTCTTGTATGTGGATACCTCCGAAAATTGGATTTTTCTAGTCAGCTGATTCCTCTTTTACAACTCAGGCTTCAATCGCGTAATATTTAAAAATTAATCTTGTATGTATTTGAAATATTGTTAAACTAACTCAGAAATACAGTTGAGTACTGTTAAATATCATACATAATAAAAACGAAAAAATAGTCTGGTAGATTCAATGTCCACTTTTTTATATATAATATGTATATATTACGTCTAGAATGTCATATTTTCACAAATCATCTTTATGTGATGAACGATGAAATACCTCTTACTTTTTGAATCTGGTTTATTTTAATCACTGAAATCTCAATAAAACTTTTTTTTTCATTTTGCGGGAAAAAGACAGAGAGGTTAGCTCGTCTGATCATCCCTATTCTTCCAAGATTTCTTCTTCTTTTTAATTGGCGTAGACACCGCTTACGCGATTATAGCCGGGTTGACCACAGCGCCCGTCGTTTCTACTTTTTGCTACGCAGCGCCAATTGGATATTATAAGCGTAGCCAGGTCCTTCTCTACCTGGTCCTTCCAAAAGTAGAGGGCTTCCTCTTCCTCTGCTTCCCCCGGCTGCTACAGCGTCGAAAACTTTCACAGCTGGAGTGTTTTCATCCATTCGACAACATGACCTAGCCAGCGTAGCCGCTGTCTCTTAATTCACTGAACTATGTTAATGCCGTCATATACCTCATACAGCTCATCGTTCAATGCGACATAGCCAACGCCCAAAGGTCCATAAATCTTTCGCGGAACTTTCCTCTCGAAAACTCGCAACGTCGACTCATCAGTTGTTGTCATAGTCCGAGGATCTTCTAAGGTTTACGGTATATATAACATGCTGATAGCTTCTGCTGAGCCTCCAATAGAGTTCCAATTGTTTCATCTTTCGAATAAGCTATACGAGGTGTTTTCCAAAAATAATGGGAATTTTCGACTTTTGAAAAAAATATTTATTCACTTGTCTACATTAATTTTTTCGCCTTCAAAGTAGCCCCCATTCGACATTGAACACTTATGACAGCGCTTTTTCCAATCGTCGAAACACTTCTCAAAATTGATGTTTTTGATCATATTTAGCTCTTCCCACGACTTTCACATGTCTTGTAAAACGACGACCCCGTATGGTTTTCATTATTTTTAGAAATAAGATCAAGTCACACAGAGAGAGTTTTCATCGTCTTTATGCAGGTGGTCAGAGGGAATCCTTAGCCACCACCAAAGTGTGAAAATGCCGGGTGGATTCATAGGTTTCACAAGCTCACAAGGTGCACTGATGAACTAACGGCAGTTCTATACAAAGATTCAGTACCCATCTATGCGAACTGCATCAGATTGGATTCCTGGAGTAGAAACTGGTTAGGGTTGCGCTTACTCCGAAGGCCGGTAATAGATCGAATGTGTCGTCCAAAAATTATAGACCCATCAGTATTTCATCGTTCTTACTGAAAACTTTAGAGGGACTGATTGATCTCCCTTAAAGAGTAGTATTCCAAAAAATCGACATTCGAGGGCACACCATGGCTATTGTAAAGGTCAGCGGGCACTCTCTTGTGAACAACTGCAGCTCTACTTAAAATCTTCCTACAATATACGACCGTACTAAATAATCATCCCAATTTTACTATCATGTTGGAGGAAATCGCGCTCAAATTAAGCTTCCGCGATTTTTTGTACATGCCACTGTTTGCTATACTTGCATGATCTATCAGGATTTAGGAAGCATGTTTCTTAATATGTGTTTCTAATCATCTTAATCCATTTTAATGTCGGTTTATATTTATTAAGTAGCGCTGTTTTATAGACCTTGCGCTGTGCGATTTTAGCTTTCAAATAAAGTAAAACAGTGTATTTTTTTCAAAATATATTTTATTACACACTTTATGCCTTTGACCATTATTAATTACCCGCTCTTACAACTAACAATAACATATGTAGACATACATAGCTAGATACGCGCAAACATATGTACACATACAGTTATTTTTCATACATAAATACAATTGACCAAACAAATATACATATATGTAAGTATATATAATATATAAGTAGATACATCTGTATGTTTCAATACAATGCAACAACACTAATTTAAATAAGTATTTCGATATACAAATACAAAAACACACGAAATGTGTATGAATATAATGTGTAGTTACACAATCGTATTTTAGCAGATAAAAAATCAAATAAAATTAAATAAAAAGTTTAAAGAAAAATCGTTTAACGATCAAATCGATATTTAAACTTAAAACTAAAATAATTTATATTGTTTTTATTGTTTTCGAATACACAAATGCAGGAGTACAAGCACAAGTATTGTTGAAAGTACTAGCATGTTGTTATTGTTATTTTTTAGTTTAAAATATTAAATTTATTTTATTTTCCATTTACTTCTTTTGTTGTAATTATATTTATTTATTTTTTTTTTAACATTTTTACTTTTTTTTATTATTTTTTTTATTTTTTGTTTGGTATTTTGCCTTACTTTTTTTTTGGAAGTAAAATGCACTATGCACAATGTAGCATAAATTACTGTTACTGGATATGTTTGTGATATACTTAGTTCCATTTTGCCATATTTTAAGCAATATAAACAATAGTATTTACATTAAGTAAAGTAATTATACGAAAATAACTTTTGAGCTTTTAATATAAATATTGTTATTTTTTATTAAAAAAAAAATTAATTTTAATATTAGCGTCATCATACAGTTATTTATATATTAATATCAATTATTTACAGTATCTTTTAATTTTTTTTACATACCACATATATGTATATGTACATACATATTCCCTCCT